GGTGAGATGTGCAGGAGCGGAGTCATGCCAAAAACCCCTCTCCTAGCACCAGCAGCCTGGTTTAATGAATCCAAAGCCGTCTGCTCAACTCTGCCCAGCTCCTCAGCTTGATCCATGGTGGCAGCAGGTTCCAGGGATGCACTGAGCAGCAGAGGGGGCAGAAGTCCTACCCGAAACCCTCCTGTCTGCCCACATGGTGACCAGCCGGACAGCAGAGATCCAAAACGCAGCAGCGAGACTAACAGCAAAATCCGCATCAAAGCTCACGGGAAATGAAAGCACAAGAAGGGGCTGCCTCCTGGGAAGAAGGCAGGACTTGTCTGCTCAGCTCCACAAACTTGTAACTAAAGAAATACAGTGTTATTAGGGCTCTTGGACTATGGCTGCTGCAGGGCACAGGGCTAAGAGGGTCTTTGCTCTAGCTAAATCCTACGGCAGCACTTCCAGATGGTTTGCAGTCAGGAGACACTCTTTTTCTTCCATTGCAGCAGGGACACCACAGGCAAGAGCAGTAGCTACAGGGCCACAAGATCGGCGAGAGGCGCCCTCACTGCATGGCCCTGCGATGAAGGACCTTCATGCCCACTTTGCAGAGTCCTCCAGATGTTACCCATGTGCTCGGTCTTTTCCTTCAAGTGTGTAATTTTTCATTGATCTTTTATGTGGTTCCGAATACTGATCGCATTACAAGTTGTTTAGCTCCTCATCTACATGACTCTCCCATCCTGGCTTCATCTCCTGGTCCCTCCTCTACTTTCCGCTCTCTTCTTACCCTCATGCACCTTTTTAAGCCAGTTATTACTTCAACACCCATATTGTCTTACCAGCCCTGCCAAAGGTGACATTTTTAAGAGATGAACAATCACAGAGACAGTTGTGGGAGCGATCAGGCCCAGACACCAAGAACTTCCTGCTAATTTGCACTCTTGAATTCCAGCCTCTGCTCCGAGCACCACCTCCCTGCTGCCCTCGCTGCTCTGCACGGTCCTGGCCCGCCTCACCAGTGGGATCAGCTGCTCCAAGGAAAGGGGGTTCCTTAGTCAGGACCCCCTCTTGGCAACAGGGCAGCTTAGCACAGGGTGGGACTTACAAGTCAAGTCCATGCAGCTGTTCAAAGAGCAGGATCTCTTCTCAAACTGTTTCAAAAGCAACCTGCAGGCAGAATAAAGGTTTCTGCCTGTTCTTGTTCTTGATAATATGGAAAGATGGGCCGCAGGATGAGCATTGACAGGTCTCGTGTATACGCTTCCCCTACCTGGAATTTGGCCGTCTACCTTTTCCCCTAGAAGCTCCTGCAGGCAACAGGAAACGTGTTGAAACAAGGAAGATAAAAAGTAGGCATTTTTTTTCCTTCGTTCTTACTAACATGAAAACTATTTAACTCTTTAGATGCTCCTGAACCTCAGCATGACTGTCTGTGGCATAAATGCAGCAGAGCTTCTCCTTTTGTCCCCTCTAAGGCCAAGCTTGCTAATTGTAGGCTTTGTCCGCAAAAGCTCAGTTAATGTCACATGGAACTGCCTAGGCTTGAATTCCACAAAGTGACACCACTTTTCCCCCTTTCCTCAGCACTTTTGTTTCTACCCTTCATTCTCCCTTCAGCTTTTCTTCACCAGTGAGCCCAGGTGTGAACGGCTGTGTCTTCATTGGCACCATGGCCCTGTCTTTGCTACTTGGACTTCAAGGATTATCTCAGAGCCTCTTCATGTTGCAGGAAGCCACTATCCTACCGGAGGCTGAACCATCCCAAGATCTCATGCTGTAAAGGTTTCCAACAGGGAATTCCCAGCAAGCCTTTCTTCCTAGCATTTCCAGTCTCCAGAAATTTTCCCGTGTGACCCTACTTCATGTTTAGGAGTTAGCAGGAACCACATGATGGGTCTCCTAGAGGACACCGGCATTCAGCACCTCTCACGCTAGACGGGCAGGAGCGTTTCTGTCCCTGCCACCTCTGAGCAGCGTCCCACCAAAGTGGGGTTGAACCACGAGGCTGCTGACCTGAAGAACCATTTTGACCTGAGATCTTCCAACGCTCCAGAAGATGCCTATAAGCAAGGGGGTCTGTTTGACAGAGAAGAACTCAGTCCAGAACCTCCTGGTAAGAATTCGTCACCTCAGCAGGGCACTCAGATTTCTAGATTACCAGGTGAAAAGACGCTGCTGTGACTGCTCCCCTCTGATATTTCTGGCCCCCGTCTCCGGCTGTTTCTCGCTCAGCACAGCAGATTTCACATTGTTCATGCGCTGTACAGAGAACCTGAGATTTCACCTGGGATATTGTTAAGTCTGGCAGGCAGGAAAACGTCTGTAAGTTAAATGTTATAGTGCTGCTTATTACCACACTGAGCAGCTAGAACTGGCCACGAGTAACAGCTACATTTGCCACTCCTGCTCCAGCCTCATGGTAGAGGAGCCCAACCCACCTGTGGAACCACGACAGCTCAGAGCAATTCCTGAGAGCAGCAGAGGTGTCCACCTCGGGACAGGGCAAATATTGGATGGTAATAAGTGCTTCAGCTGGGCAAATTTAATCTGTCTGTGCAAGTCAGTCGAGGCCCTAAACCCTAGTAGTGAACTAAATCCCCTTAGCTTCCAAAGATCTTGCTTCTGGTTAGGTTATTAAAAAACAGAACAAAACAAAACTCCATATTGTTCAAATAAACAAAACTCACCAAAGAGTTTGGACTGTCTGGCAAGAAAGAGGTGCCCTCTTCATTATTTCTTGCTTCCTTTTTATAGCTGTCATATATTATCTGTTTTTTGTTGTCTTGCCAGGTGGTGGCAAAGCTACTACACCACCAGTGCATCAGACTCATCCCAGCGGCACCGAGAGACGATTTCCCAATCCCGGGATTCCACCTGTTCAGTTCTTTGAGAAGGACCATTCCCGCATCATTCATTGCACTGATACCCACAAGCCTGATCTGCGCAATATTGTACTCAAAGAGCAGCTGCTGTGTCATACTTTTTATAGATTAATAACATGGATTATAAACTGGGTATCACAGGTCAAAGCACATCACAACCAGACACACAGCTGAGGCAGAACTGTGAAATTAAAGTGACTTGATGTCGCTATTTCTTTGTACCTGGGCAGAACCCAAACAAAGCTCTCCCTGCCCTTCCAGGTAGACTTGATGAACCTGTTCAGTTATGAGGTGTTAGGGCTAAACCATGTGAAGGGCAGGAGGAAACAAGCAGTTTTCACGTCAACCGCACACATTTAGCAAGGAGGTAGGACAAGCTCATGCTCTAAGTGATGACAAGGTCACGCTCTCACTGCCTCCTGTCCTGGCTGCTCTCAGCAGATGTTTGGGATAGGGCAGCCCCAGGGCAGCCCGTGCCGTGGGTGCTCAGGCGCTCAGCGCAAAGCTACACATGCAAAACCTTTATGTTTTCCTATTAAGGTGGAGTATCTGAACCTTAAAAGTGCAGGTGTTTGAGTACCAAAAAAGGAAGGACTCGTTTCTCCCTCATCTCCTATCTTCAGCCAAGCCTTTACAGATCATCTGCCTGAGGCTGTGCTTGACTTACAGTCCCCTGCCCTGTCAGCAGTGCTGTTTCAGTAGAGGAGTGAGGTAGAAATCTCTCCCACAAGCATTAAGCAGCAGGAACACTTTAACGGATGTTAAACTTTAACAGATCTTAATTTTGGTGGTGCACAAATACCGCTTATTTATCCCAGTGCAATTACAACATGTTTTATGAGCACATTGTACTGATAAACTGGCTGCAGTCAGGCACCTGACTCAAGCCCTCTGTGGATGTGAGCCAGGACTGTCGGTACAGAACAGCTGTACTCAAGAGGCTGCAAACTGGGAATGGAAACTGCAGCTTGCTTTCCACTTCCAGTCAGTTTGGTGCCCACCTTTTAAAAGCTGGAGACCAGAACTGGATGCAATATCCGAACACTGCTTTTACAAGCAACATTAACAGAAGATAAATTGCCTCCTGAATTTTCTGTTTAATGCACACTCAACTTTCTTTTGATGTTCTTTAGAACTGAGCACTCATTTGGTTGCTTGTCCAACGATTCCGATCTTTCTCAGGACGCAATCTGCTCCCTCCTGGTTCCTGGCCATACTCTGACCTTGCACGTGGCTACAGTTTCTCTGAAAAGCTGCAGTGCTGTTTTCTACAACATCGATCTTTTACTTACCAGTTCATCAACCTATGTCTGCAAGCTTGTTCCATACCTTATTTCCAAACCCCCTGTTAATAAAACTCCATATGATGTTAGTTAAAATGCTTTACACACATTTTAGGTGCCATATATTTTTACAGGTTACAGTTGTGAAACAGGATGATGGAGTTGTGAAACAGTACCTGATGGTAGGGTTATGGGCAGGGAACATCTGTTTTGAGAATCAATTGAAGACACCACCTGAAACCCTGTAATTGCTTTGGTTGTAGTTGCGGCAATTTAAGCTGCCACTACAGTTCAAAGCAGCAGTCCTGTCCTCGTAGTCCTCTTGCCCTGGTGCCACCATCTGCATTTGCTCAGTGGTCAGACTGGGAGCCATCTGAGCACACTTGACAAAGAGAAGCAGCTTTTACCACTGTGCCCACCTGGAAGCCATGCAACTGCGCACGGTGCCCAGGGAAGGGGGCCCGCAGAGCGGCCACGTGGCTTGTGGCCACGTCTGCTGGCAAGTGTCAGAACAAGCTATTTGGCAAGATTTCCACGGTGAGCAATCCCTGCTGGCACCGCAGCTCACGTCCCGCCAGGGCCACCCTCCCCGCGTGGGCTCAGGGAAGGGAGGTGGTTGTGCCCACGCCGCGTTTCTTTGCGCTGCTCTGTCAGTCTGCGGGTCGGGGAGAGCCGGGCCGTGGAGCAGCTAGTTGGGCTGTAGGTCCTCCAGGCCACGGGCGAGCCGGGCTGCGGTCAGTCAGCCAGGCCTCAGCTCGGGTCAGTCGGAGGCTGCGGCCCTTCGGCAGAGCCTGCGCTCAGTCAGCTCGGATCAGCCTCGCGCCTCGTCCCCCGCCCGGCGGCGGTGCCGTCACTCGTGGGCCACGCGCTCCAGCGCCACGTAGAAGCTCTCCTTGGCGGGGCCAGCCGATGGGCCCCGCCTCGCAGTCAGCGCACACCAGGAACTTGACGTTGCCCACGTCGCGGGTGAAGCCCACGTTCTCGAAGGAGAACATGTCGCGCACCAGCCAGTGCTCCCGCACCACGTCCCCGTCGCTGGTCGTCGCCGCTGACGCCGCCTTCTTCCGCATGGCGGGCAGGAGGAGCTGGAGCAACAAGCACATCACAGCCTGCCCGGGAGTGCGACACCCTGCCCGCCCCCAGGAGGGGGCTACCCCCCATCGGAGACCCTTTCCGTGGGTATTACAGCCCACCCGTTCAGCTCTGTAGAGAGCACAACCCCCCAGCAGCCCCATCCCCAGCCGGGTACTACACCCCACCGCGCTGCTCTGCAGGGAGTGCTACACCCTGCCCACTCCTGGAGAGGGGCTACACCCCAACTGACACCCCCCGGGGTGCTACATCCCACGTGACACCCCCTGGGGCGCTACACCCCACCTGACACCCCCCTCCCCAGGCACTATGCCCTACCTGACACCCGCTGGGGTGCTACACCCCAACTAACACCCCCTGGGGCGCTACAGCCCAGCTGACCCGCACCCCGGAGCGCTACACCCCAT